GTTTGCAGGGGAGTAGCCCGGCCGGCGGAGGAGTCTGCCCTGCGGGGGGGGGGAAGGGGGCGGCGAAGGGGTGCTTGTTCACTTACCTCCCAAAATCCAAAATTTGTTATTTCAGTGGACGCAGACAAGTGGACTTACTATTGTCACACATGTGGACAGAGGTTGTAAGGATGCGAGACCCTTCCTGCCTAGGGGGGTCCTAAGGTAGCCTTGGCAATAAGGGGGAAAGGACCAGCACGTGGGGGAGGGACTTGTGAGGATCCCTGTTTGTGTGTTCACACATGTGGGCAGAGGTTGTAAGGATGGGAGACCCTTCCTGCCTGGGGGGGGTCCTAAGGTAGCCTCGCCAATAAGGGGGAAAGGACCAGCATGTGTGTGTGTGGGGACTTGTGAGGATCCCTGTTTGTGTGTTGTGTGTGTTTTGGTAGCTAATTTTGAACCCAAGGAGGGCTTTCTCTGGGTGGCAATTCCTCAGTTGCCGCTGACCCGAATCCTAAAGGTCTCCCCTCCCCGCAGGAGGACCACAAGCCCCGAAGTCTCTCCAGCGGTCACCTGAAACACCTGGCCTCCAAGGTGGATCTCCAGCGCCTTTGGGGCACTTACCTGCAGCCCATGCTGGTGGAGAGGTACCCTGGCAGTCCCGGGAATCGGAGAGTCCGGCAGGTGAGTCGGGGGGTGTGCGCGCACATTGTCTCTGGAGATCGGCCCCTGGATGATGCCCCGGGGGGGGGCAGGGACATGCTGCCTGGAGGATTCTGGGATTTGTAGTCTGTACAATGGGAGAGAGTAGAGGCTGGCCTAAGGCTCTTAAGCGGGATTTGAACTCGGGGCTTTTCTGAATACTGTTCCCGGGCCCCATGCAACCTCAGCTGCCTTGCTCTTCCAAATGCTTCCCCAAGAGCATAAGAAAGACGGTTGCCTCTTCTTTACTTGGGAGGGTTTGGAGAAATGGCTTGCGGGAGGATCACTGAGAACTAGAATCCTGCGCCAGCATACGATCCCCTAGTTCTTCATCTTGCAAACCTCTTCTTGCCCCCCAGTTCATCACAGAAAGGCTGAGGATGCTGGAGGCTTCATGGCACGTAGAACTGGACACTTTTGAGGACAGCACGCCCCACGGCACCGTCAACTTTGCCAATGTGGTGGCAACGCTGGATCCCGCAGCGCCCAGGTGCCTGACGCTGGCCTGCCACTACGATTCGAAATACTTCCCCCGTGACGAGCACGGCCGAGCATTCCTGGGGGCCACAGATTCGGCTGTGCCTTGTTCGATCCTGCTGGAGCTGGCGACGGCGCTGGACAAGGAGCTCCTGAAAACCAAAGAACAGGTTTGTCTCATGAGAAAGTGGGAGCCATGCCTAGTGGTAAGAGCTGTCAGGTGGACCTTGCATGCCTCACACCTCTTTCAAATGGACTTTAGGTTCAAAAGAGAAAGGTCTGGTTTATGCTTGTTGACTAGAGGGTGAAGTTGGATTTGAAATTGGGCTGTTCTCTGCCTAAACCCTTAAATTGGTGCAAGGTGGAACTTTGTCTGGGGCAAAAAATGGCATTTTCTAAAGTTTATTCTACTTTTATTATTTTTTGTCTTCATTTGCTATTAATTTTTATGTTTATTAATACTGTTTTCACATTTATTAATTTTGTTTTGATGTTTCTTAATTATGCTTTTATGCTATCAGATACTATGCAAGGAAATTAGCAGAAATATTTTTTTTAAAAGAAGGATTTAACAGAAATCGAACAATAAAGTCACCACAAATACCACGATCCTGTTTTACTTTTGCACTTGGGAACGCTGAAATTTGGGCTACTTTTCTCAATTCCTCAAAGCTCTGTCCTCGATGGTAACCTTGTCTTAAAAGGCATGTGTAAATGACAGGGTGTTGTTGTTTTTTTCTAAAAAGAGCAAAGGTTGACATATTTGAGCTTTTTATTTGTGGGGAGGGAAGACTAAGATACTTTAGAGGATTAGAAAACAATTCTTAAGTAGTCTAGAAAAACCGGCTAGAAATATTTTCCCCTTAGGGTGTTGGAAACTCGATTTATTGACAGGTTTTAACCTGATTCTCTCTCCCCCCTCCCTTGAAATTCATTGCACTTGTTATCGTTTTTACAAGTACGGACAGCAGAAGGAAAATAAAAATAATCCAGGTTTTCATCTTGCAACAGCTTCGTCTCGGTTTGAACCCTAACCAGCTGAAACCTAACCGTCTGGCTACTTTATGGTTTAGGGTGCTCCCATGACCCTCCAGCTTCTGTTTTTTGATGGCGAGGAAGCCTTCAGAGAATGGAGCAAAACAGACTCTCTCTACGGAGCCCGTCATCTGGCTGAACGCATGGCAAAGGCCCCTCACCGCCCGGGCTCAACCCAGCTCCAAGCTATTGTGAGTACTTTTCTACACCATGGGTTTGGAAACGAGGACCGGTACAGTCCAGGGGCGGCCTAGGGTTGTGAAAGATTTTCCTGGCAGATTAGCTTTCAAACCACCCCTCTATCCTCTACTGATCTGCTGCTTTCCAGTTTTGAAGTGTGCCCTCGTTTGCTGAATCCTCATTACTTTAGGTTTGGCTAGGAGGTGACCGTCAGACTGTCCAGTACTGGCTGGTCATTCTTTCCCTGCCTCTGATTTCAAAGAGGGCTCTGCATCTCTGGTCGGGGTTTTCCCCCCTCTCTTTTGCCTGTTAAAGCATTCTGTAGCCAGCCACGTCTGACAGTTTGCTCTTCAATCTGTTCAACAGTAAGTAAAGAAAGTGGTTTTTATTCTTCCTCTTACTAATGTCTCAGTGAATTACTGAGACTGTAAGTGCCAGTGGATGAAAACAAGGGATGAATTAAATTGGATGAACCTGGAGCTATTCTGCTCTGTGAATCCCTGCATTTTTGCTGTGCAGCTAGAGGAATCTAAACAAAATTCAAAACACTGCAACACAAAACTCTAGTGGTGCTTTGCTTTGTTTTTAACCCCCCCCCCTTCCCTCTTTGCAGTCCCTCTTTGTTCTCCTGGACCTGCTGGGAGCCCGGGAGCCCACCATCCGGAACCATTTTGTGGCAACCGCTGGTTGGTTTGAAAGGCTTGTCAGCATCGGTAAGGAGTGGAGACAGGAATGGGGGAAAACCAGACCCATAGCAGCAGTTTTGAGGGTGGAGGCTATCAGAAACGAGGGGTGGGGTTCTCTTCTGTGCCTCCAAAGCTTGGGCAGGAAGAGAAACGAGCTATAGAATATTTAGCCAGTTCCTCCTGTGGGTCTTAGCAAATGGTAGCCCCGATCACTGGTGATGCACAGTGGGTGTTTAAAATAAAAATAAAGTGTCTAGTCCCTTTGTTGCCTTCTGCAGAAAAGCGACTACATCGGCTAGGGCTTCTGGAGTCTCACCCCAAAGAGGAGATGTATTTCCACCGGGATCCCGTCTTCGGCCCCATTGAGGATGATCATGTGCCCTTCCTCCGGAAAGGTACCGTGACCCTGTGACTCGGTTTCCCCAACTGCTCCCTTTGCCATTGCCATATTTGGAGGGCATTGATTTTGGTTTAATAAGAAGAGTGGATCAAACACTTAAACATTATGTTCCTGAAGCTATTTGTGAGCTGCTTGGGGTCCTTCTACTGGGAGAAAGGATACTCTGCGGGGTAGGGGATAGAATGGCAGACTAGGATTCAGGAGTCCTGGGTTCAAATTCCCACTCAGCAAAAAAACACTCATTAAATATCTCACTTATCTTGAAAGTCCTATTCGGATCAATAGAAGTCAGTTCCAACTTGACAGCCTATAGCATGTAGTCATGTCCTAGCTGTGCGTATGTTCTGTGTTGTCAAATCAGAACCGACTTCTGGCAACCCTAATAAGGACTTTCAGGGTTAAGTGAGACATTTGAGGAGCGGTTTAACCACAGTTCCATTCCCAAGTGAGTTCCCGTGGCTGAGCACGGATTCGAATCCTGTCCTCTGGAATCCTAATCCATCACTCTGCCCACTACACCCCACTGTAGGCATGTGTGTTAACATCAGTTGACCAAATAGCTTTGGACTTATATAGAGATGGCAAGGCCTGGAAAAAAACCCAGAAAAACTGGGGGGGAGGGGGATAAGTTTTTTTTTTCTGTTTTCTTCCAAAGCCGTTTTTTTTCCCCCCCTGGAAAAATTGAAAAAAAAAAAAAGGAGTGTCTATGGCATGGTATTCAAACTATCATTTTTTATTTTTTCCCTGGAAAAATTGAAAAAAATGGAGTGTCTATGGCATGGTATTCAAACTATATAAGAAGACCTTAATGAAAGACTTCTGGGACTTTATGTATATAAGTTCTCTCTAGAGATGTAAAATTTCCAGAAATATCCAGTTTTTCTGGGGGGAAAACATGCTTTTTTCCATGTTTTTTTCTTCTGGGGAAAAAATGGAAATATCTAGAATTTTTACACCTCTAGACTTACACATGGGTATGTATCTTTGCTTTTCTGACAGGCGTCCCCGTGCTTCACCTCATTGCCACCCCTTTCCCTGATGTCTGGCACACCATGGAAGACACAGAAGCAAATTTGCATCCGCCCACCATTCGGAATTTAAGCAAGATCCTCGCCACTTTCTTGGCGGAATACCTGAGGCTCTAGGTGGAAGGGACCCAGATGACTTGAGACACCTTCGGATGAGACACGGAAAGGTCACGGAGGGGGAAAAAAAAGAGATTTGTTACATGAGCAAAGCAAGTTCCTGTTGGAGACTCGGAAATGTCATTCAAGGGGAGTGAGAGAGAGGGAGTAGACCTTGTGTGGTGTGTGAGAAGGACACACTTGACTTGGGTGTAGGGAGCCATGCGTTTTGTAGGAAGAGGTGCCACTACCAACCAAGGAGGCCACAGCGGGCAGGCGGGATGGTGAGGTGGCCATCTAAGCAGACATGAAACACAGATGTTGGCAGCCCGGCTCTGGAAGTCCAAATGGCGGCAGGAAGGAGAAGATTGCTGAGGAACGTCCTTCAGTCCCAAAGGAATTTTCTTGGCCTATCAGTTGTTCCTGAAAGTTTGGAGGAGGGTCGGGTCTTTCTCCTACTCCCCGTGGGAGTGTCTGTTTCGGACTAGGTGGGACCAGTCTGGTTGGCAATGTTTTCTTGCAGCCCTTCCGTCCTTGATAGTCCTGTGAGGCGCACACTGTTTAGGGGTGGTTTTTTGGGGATTTTTTTGGACTACAAATCCCACAATCCTCCATTCTGGGAGTTCTACCTGGCACACAGACACCTAAATGTGGCTCGCCTGGGAAAAAAAGGCCTGGCCTGGAAGGCTTCGAGGCCTAACTAGGCCTAGCTCCAACCCGCCTTCCTGTTCCTGTCCTGCTGCTAGCTGGGAGCTTTCTTTCTGAACAGGAAGCTAGGCCTAGCTAGGCCTTCCCGTTCAGGCTCATAGAAATAAGCATGGTCATACAGCGGTGCTTCGCTTAACGACGTTAATTCGTTCCAGTGAAATCGCTGTAGAGTGAAAACGTCGTAAAGCGAAAATAAAAAACGCATTGAAACGCATTAAAACCTGGTTAATGCATTCCAATAGGCTAAAAACTCATCATCCAACGAAGATCCTCCATATGGTGGCCATTTTCAGTGCCTGTATAGCAAGGAATCCGTCCCTAAGCACAGTGGGGGGCCATTTTGAGCACCCGGCTGCCATTTTGAAAACCTGTTTTGATCGTCGTAATGCGAAGAATCGGTTCCTGAAGCAGGGAACTGATCTTCGCAAAGCGAAAAAACACCATTTAAAACATCGTTTTGTGATCGCAATTGCAATCGCAGAAACATAGTCATGAAGCGGATTTGTCGTAATGCGTGGTAATCGTTAAGTGGGGCACAACTGTAAATGAGAAATATTTGGTTCATTTGACTAAAACTGCCAGAATTGCGAAGGCAGCATGGCCAGCGGCCTTGAAAACAGCAGTTTCCTCATCTTGCACGGACATTCTCATCTTGAGCCATTTTGAAAAATAGGACTTGTTTCAATGTGGCATGGAAGAAATGCCCAGAAGATTCTGGGATATTCTCCGTCCAAGATATTCTCAGCCCACCTCTGGCCGCTCTGCAACTGGTTCCATCCTTTATCAAGGAAAACGGGTCTCTACTGTTCTTGAAATTATTTATCGTCCCGTCTAAAGGTGATTTCGGAGAAAGGATTATGTAAAACATGAGGCTGTCACTCAGGTCTCTCGCAGGCTCTTGTGTATGGATTGACTAACACTGAAGGAATGATTGTAATCTGTAAAACGTCCCTTAGGCCTAGTCTCGGCATGCAGCAGAAGCCCGAGGGAGTGGAGAGACATGTTATTTCTGAATGCCAAATTAAAAAAAAGAGAGAGAACCCTGCAAGTAAAAAAACTAGCATATCAGGGAGAATTTCTTGCTCAGCCTTTTCCTTGCTGTGCTAGCTTTCTGCTTCCAGGGAGGAACTGTTACATCACATGTTAGGGAGGGCATTCAAATATAATTTCTCCACTCCCTGCCCTCTGAACTAGTATGTTCTGTTCTTCCGTCTCAGGAATTTATCCCTCTGACTTCTGCTGCTTGTCTAGTCTAGGCCTGTGATCCTCCTTTTTCAGGTAGCTTAATAAGCAAACTGTTCAATAAATGTTTTCCTCTTGCTTTTGAATGCCACGTGTTTTCTCTGTTTGAATGTTTTTGGCTGGCTAATAAATATAGAGCCCAGGATGATTCAGCAAGGCTGAAGGAAGAAAACAGGAGACTTGGTATCGAGGTCGACCTCTACAGAGATGGAATGCTTTTGTGTGTGATGATTTGGAGCAGGCTCCCGAATGGAAAATTGCTTTTAAAACAATATTTTCAGCACCCTGGATAGCTCTCGAGCCTCCTCCTGTGTGGGAAGATTTTCCCACACTCCTGGCCTTAGGCAGGACTGCAAATTTCCGAGTGTCACAGAACTCTTCTTCAGCAGGCAAACTGAGAAAGTGTCTCTTCAGGTGCCTGAAGACTACAGACTTCTTTCTTTGATGATAACCAAAGTAAGCACTGCATGCCTGCCTAGTTGCAAAGCTGAGTCGGAAGCAAGAGATGATTTCTGGAAGAGTAGCTGTATTTGTTGATAACGGGAAAAAACAGCAAGGGAATCTTGTTATGCCTTAAAGGCTAACACATTTGTACTAGCATACTTCCTCAGATGCATGCATATGATGAAGTAGAACATTTTACGCAAAATCACTTCACTCCAAGCTACCACAAGTATCTCTGTGGGTGGTTTTTTGCCTCGTTTAAAAATAATATGCCATCAAGTCGATTCTGACTTACGACGGCCTTTTGTCTGGGTTTTTCCAGGAAGGAAATAATCAGAAGTGGTTTCCCATCCCCTTCCTCTATGCCTTGTTTAAAAGCCATCAGGTTGATTCTGACTTACAGCAGCCTTTTGTCTGGGTTTTCCATGAATAATCATAAGTGGTTTCCCCTCCCCTTCTTCCTGGGGAGCCCTGGGACGGTGTGCAGCTGGCCCAAGGCCACCCAGGCTGGCTCTTCTCCTGAAAGACCCAGTGGGGGAATCGAACCCCCCAACCTCTGGCTCTGCAGCCAGAGACCTAAACCACTGAGCTATCCAGCCTTTATGCAAACCATGTACACTCTAAGAAATTCTTCTTGAGCTCAAAATGCCTTGGGATCAAAGCTGATCCTTCAATTTGCCTAAACACTGATTCTTACGCTATGGTGGTCCTGCATCTCAAAAACACAAAGCAAACATGATTTCTAAGAAACCCCTGATGGGATCACAAATACTGTAGTTCTACAGTGCTATCAGAATGCTACACAGCCTCCCAACAGTGAAAAGGGACATTGAGTAGTTCTACAGTGCCATCAGAATGCGACACAGCCTCCCAACAGTGAAAAGGGACATTGTAATGACCTGATCTCTCTTGCTAAGCTCAAGCCAACAGGGAAAGCTGTGCCTGGAATGTCCCGTCATTAATTAACCAAAAATCAACATGCAGATAGGTGAAAGTGAATGAGCCATTCTCCGTGGTTGTTTATGCATGGAAGCAGTTAATGTATTTTTTGTTGTTGTGGGCTGTGTTTACCTGCTTCAGCCTGGTTACTATTTAAAAGCCAAAAGCATTGCAGTTAATGTATTTTTTTTGTTGTGCGCTCTGTTTACCTGCTTGCCTGGTTACTATTTAAAAGCCAAAAGCATTTCCCCCCCATTTTCAAAAAGCACAAATCTCAATTACTCCAGGGCCTGAAGGATTGATCAGTCATTAGAGATTCCTTCCCAGTTCCCCTTATATGTTTTTTGTGCCAAGTCCGAAATGCTCTTTTGTGGGCTGTGAGCTCCGATGGCTTGAACGCAATGAAATAAAGACCTTGCAAAGGTGGGAGCCCAAGGACCTTGATCCACTGTCTAGCTATCGTCACGACTGGGTCCCACCTCAAGATCCCAAGGCTGCCTGCCTCTGAACATCAGACATGGGAGAGGGGGCCTGTGGTCTGGCTTTGTTTCCAGGTAGGCTTGCTGGTTCAGATGGTCCTTCAACATGAGTGCGGGAGCTCAGCAGGGGCCAAGAAACCAACGTTTCACATAGAAAAGGTTTTTTTATTTTTTTCCCCCCAGGAAAAACAGTTTATTTACAGAAAAGGGTTGCTGTACGTCCAGAAACTTTCCTACCTGGCTGGTCATCGTATCCAAAGGGAAAAGGGGCTCAATGAATAGGTCAACAAGGAGCAGATCCAGGGAAGCCGGCTGACCAGCCCACGGGCCAAGAAGGCGAGGCGGCTTCTAAAGAACCACCCCTATACGCCCACCCTAATCTCAAGTCTAAAGGGGCCACGCCAACAGACGAGCAAAAGAAACAAATAGAGGGTCAAATCATTAAAACTGGCCTCGTCTTCAGCTTGGTCGCAGTGAGAGAAATTAAACGGGCCAGCAGAACAAGAGGGCAGGCAGCACCTGGTTTAGAAAGGTTGGCCCGACGGCTGTGGGTGGGTGGTGGGTGGGACTGCTCTGTTCCCCGTGCAGGCCCAAAAACTGATTCCCTGCAGGACCTCGCCTCTTCACCAACACCCCAAGACTGCCAGAAAGAGACGACGATACAGAAGTGGTGCAGTTAAAAGAAATGTCCGTTGCCCAGGGCAGATGCCTGCAAGGGAGAGACCGCCGGAGAGGAAGCGATGGAAAGAGACCTGCGTTTCATGTCCACCCAGGAGCCAGAGAGCTGCAGGTTTTACATCAATCAGGATGGGAAGGAATGGGGATGGGATAGCGAGGGAAGGGTCCGACAGAGGAAGTCCGCTGGTCCGGGGGTTTCTCTCCTCTTTCTCCCCACCCCAACTTTTAAGGCAAGAGGAGGGAAAAAAAGAATAAGGCTAAAAAGTTCTCCATCTCCCCTTATATGCCCCATGCACTGCAGATCCTCCCCTAAAACCAAAGTGGCACTGGAGAGGATGGAGGAAAACCATTCTCACCAGCTTCTATTTGTTCAAAGAAGCACACGTGTTTTCTACAGGTGAACATAAGCACCTCTGTGAGTCCCATCCTGGTACCACCTCTTTACAGATCATCCCTTGGCTTTTTCAAAAGAAGACGGTGGCAGAGAAAGGCTCTGTTTGGAATGGAAAAAAACACCAGAATGGTGTGTGTGTGTGTGTGGGAAGTGCGGCCTCTTTATCTTTTGGCCTCTTCCTGGCAGGCCAGCCATCCTGCCAACGTCATCTGCTGGAAGGCCTGACGTGGTTTCTTCTGTTAGAGGAGAGGTTACGTTCTTGTCTCGAGTTTGTTCATGTACTCCTGCAGCGCCTGTAGCCGAGCGTCGATCTCGGAGAGGTCAGCCGATGGCTCATCGTATAGATTCTCTGCTGGGCAAAACAACCGTGTTACTTTCTGCAGGGCCTGGGAGACTGGGCACTGGGCTGGTGGCGGCCGCTACCAGAATACACAGGATCAAAGACATTTACGCAGCAGGGAGCTGGTCCCGTAATACCTTGCACCTCCCAGGCAGGCAGAGAAGGAAGGGCGTGCCAAGTCTTTGGGCAACACGGCACCCAGCCTTCAAGTGGTTCTCCTAGGATCAGCATGTACGCCTCTGCCCGCGGTGGGAAATATTTGCTTTTTTGGACTTCCACCTCCCAGAAATCCCTCCAACAGTTTGGCCACTGGCATTCTTAAACTTGCCCCCAACCCCCCCCGCCACTACCATCTCTTATCGCTCTGCCACCCAGGACCTTGCCTTAAAAGGAAAGAAACCATTCAGCTGTGCCCTACTCTCCTAAGAAAGCAGGATCGAGAGAGCCGGGAGCTTCTCTTTGCCCTGTGAGGCTATATGACCAGGACAGGAGCTGTTGTTGAGATACAGCTTCGGCAAAGATTATAAGCCGCTGTGGATCATGGCTCTAAAATGGACTGCCTGATGGAAACACAGCAAACTCTGGGATAAATTATAGTCCTTGAGTCCAGATCAGGCACACCGGATGCGAACAAAGGTGGAAGAGCTGCGTCTAACGGTGGTAAACTAATTTAGCTAGACATTCCTACTGTATAGGGGTAATTATTTTTGCCTCTTTACAGCCAACAGCTGAGGTCCTTTGACATCTTAAAGGGTGTGTGTGTGTGTGTGTGTGGAAGTCCTTTGATGTCTTAAAGATTAAAGGGGTCTGCGTGTGTGTGTGTGTGTTAAATCTGGCATAAGTTTCATGTACGACAGCTCACTTCTGCAGATGTTCTTAAGGAGAGGGCTTGCAGCTCGTCAAAAAGCTTAATGCCCAAGAAAATTTGTTAAGCCTCCAGGTTTAACAGGACTCCTTTTTTAAAAAATAAACTCTACATGTGGTTTCCAACAGCCGCGTGGTGCACAGGAACCGATGCGTCCCATGGACACTTGTGGAACTTCGGTGGTGGGACTTAGCAAGGGCGCTCCAGACCGGCTCCAGAGAGGCTGAAAAATCTCACTGCGGTCTTAGCGCTGTGTTCAGCGCAAGATGGTCCCTGAGGTGGCCAAGGGCTTACCTTTATCTCCTCGCTCACCTGGGGTGGGGGTGCTGACCAAGCGCTTCCTGTGGCCACCGTCTGCATGGGGAACCTATAACGCAGGACAGGAAGCGGCCATCGTTTCATTCCGTCCTAGCTAAACAAGACCCCAGAGTCTCCTTCAAGAAAGAAGCCGCCAATACATCTGTCCGGCAGCGATTCTGGAAGAGGAGCCCTCTCTGCCCGGCACTTACCCCCGTGGGGCCGTTCCACGATGAGGAACTCAAGGGTTTCCTGCCCCTTGCCCCTCGCCTCCGGCTCCTGAGAGGTGAATAAAGATAAAAAAGAGATCTGGGAGGACACGTATTGTAGAGCTGAAGTTACAGTAAGAACACCTCCCTCTGGGTTTCAGGCACAGATCCAAGAACCTGCTAGTGAACTGGGTCCCGGCTCCCACCATCCTTGATTCTTAACTCTGATCAACGAACGGAAGTAGCAACTTCCCAAAGAATGGAAGTAGCAACCAGCCTTTGCATTATAGAGCTGGCTTGGGTTATTCCAAAGGATTAGAACCACAGCAGGAGAAATGTGACCTTCAGTTTCTCTTCCCTGCTGCTGATGTTGCCCTGGAAAGCCTTGCTCTCCCCCGAGCAGTAGCGAAAGAAAAAATGTGTTTTGCCTTCTCTCCCAGCTATGCCCTCGTCTCCTCCTTCCTTTCCCTAAAAAGATTGTTGTCCTTCCAATATTCCGTTAAGATCTGGCCGAGCTGGGGTTAAACCCCCCACTTGGTCCCCTCGGGCCAATCCCTCTCCTTCTGCCTGGCGGGCTGTGCATAGAAAGAGGGGAGAAGAACGATCACGTAAGCCGCCGTGGGTTCAGCAGAGGAAGGATGGGCTGGACACGAAGCCAAGGGATGAATAAAAATTGGCCTGGAAGGCGGAGCGGACAAAGAGATGGATCCATGCCGCCGTGGGGTCGAGAAGGTCATGCGAGCCTCCTCTTACACCCCAGGGGTCTTGTGGCTACAGCTGAATTTTGGGCACTACACCAGTCAGCGAGGATTTTTGAAAGAGCAACGTCCACCCACCCCCTATGCCAAAGAATTTAATCACCCTTGGATGTGAGAATAAGTTCTTACGGGAAACAAAACCCACAAATCAACCTCGGGATTTTAGCAGAAAGCAGCTCAGAGTTGGCGTAAACGTCACCGGGTACCCCTGCTACACTCCAGAGGCCACCTTTGGCCCTGCCTCGGCCTCCTTACCTGGATGCAGCAGGTTCTGAATAATCGTCCGCTTCGCTCCCCGAGCTTGCTGAGGACCGCCGGCTGCGGAAGCTTTCCACTGCAGAGGTGAAAGAGAGAGAGATAAAAAGTGAGCTCAGGGCGAGGTCAAGGATGACGAAAATGCTACCTCTGAGGGCCGAGCTGTGAAAGGCAGTTCTGCTGATCCAAGTCACAAAGCAGGAAAGCTTGTAAAAACCATATTCTGGGCTTCCATTCTTGGCTGGCTGGAGTGTTCTGGGAGCTGCAGTTGGCAAAAGTGTACACACATCTTTGTCCTTGCAATGTCCAAAGCAGGAACAGAAGCCGGCCCTAAGCACCACCTCCCTAATAATATAATACGCTGAATCCTGACCATAAGCTAGGTTTAAAAAAAGCCCACTCTGGGCCACTGGCTGATGGTCACGGAATGTTTGCCATCATTCTGACACTCAGAATGAAATTGTCAGAATGGAATGATCACAAATAGCGCAGCTTTTCAAAGAGAAGGGACAGGATGGGTGAGAGATTAAGGCAACCTCTCAGCTCTGAGCCCTGGAGATGGGGGTTGTGTGTGTGTGTGACGTTACTGACATCAACCTCACAGTTGAAAGCAAAGGAAGATCATCTCTGCAGATCACTTCCGCCTCATAGCTAAAGCAAATCTGGCATCTAAACGTACGCTGGTAAGGAAAAGGGAAGGAAATGTGGACAAGGATTATTTGCCACTGAACAAAGGCTGATGTTTTCAAAAAGGGATAGAAACACTGCAAAAAGCTGGGCAAACCTCACCTGAGGGCACCACTTCCTGAAGAGCAGAGCTTATAACCAGCTTTGCTCCATCATGGGGGAAGCCAAAGAAAGAAATGGGAAAAGTTCAGGCCTTGGCTCTCTCTCTCTCTGCTCCTTAAGGCCCAAACTGGTATAACGATATAGCGTGGGCACACTCCCGACAAAGAACAGACTCTGTTTGGACTCTGCAAAGCACCAGGTGTGCGGATGCTGTGGCAAAAAACCAGCGGGGAAACAATCTCACCACCATGGAGATGGGGACCGCTTCTCGGCAACGACTTCCCACTGAGACCCACCTGAAGAGCTCCTCGCTCGGCTCTTCCCGAGGCTGCCGTTGCTGAAAGCCGAGGGGCCCCTGGTCTGGGCGCGGTGGTGCCACCCGCTAGGCGGGGTGTCCCCCACCCCCCGCCGGAGGCATCGCTTGCTGAAGCCAGAGAGAAAGAGACAGATCAGCAAAACATAAAACTAAACCAAACCATTAACTTTGACTTGCTCACCAGTTGTTATTTTAATGTTCCCTAGGCTGGCTGCTTATTATTGACTGGCATTTATTCCCCCCCCCCACTTTATTTTCAAAAGGAAAGCAAGGTGTGCTGCTTATATACTGCCCTGTAGTGCTTAAACCACTCTTTGTGCAATTTAGGATTTAATTTTGCGGGCTACACATTGGCACACACCCTCTCCCCAAGAAAGCTGGGTACTCAATTTACCAACCTTGGAAGGATGGAAGGCCGAGCGAACCGTGAGCCAGCTGCCCTGGATTGAACCCAAGTTGTGAGCAGAGTTCCGGCTGCTGTACTGCCGTTTAACCTCTGCACCGCTGTGGTTATTTTAATCTGATATGTCCTGTTGGGAAGGCTGAAGTCTAACAGGTGTTCAAAAACAAGTGTCCCCAAAAATTAAAAGTATATTTCTGCCTCCAGCAGAAGACACCTGGCTGCTGCTGACTGTGCCATGGACCGGGTGGAAAGAAGAGAAGACAGCCCTCTCTGGCGAAAAGCGACTCACTTTTTCTGCTCCACCTCCTTCTGCTTGCGCTCCTTGGCCTTTACAAAGGCTGTGGGGTCAAATCGCGGTGCCCGGGTGCCTACGGAAGAAAAAAAAAAAACACCAGATCTCGTGAGGGTTTTGTGCAAGAACACAAAGAACCTGGTCTGCCTATAAGGTGGGAACTTTAAAAAGGCTGAGTCTGGGATTACTCGGTAGCCTGCGGGGTAAGGAAGCCTCTACCTCTTTTTGCCCTGGAGAACTGACAAGTGCTCAAGATGGGAATAGAGGTGCTTTCTGGGTCAAGGGGAGATCACCGAGAGAAACTGGGTTCTGCTGGAAGACATGAAATGACCGTTTTCCATTTTTTCGAATGACAAATCTCCCAATCCTGTCGCTAGCAGGATGGCTGGCCATGCCCCCTAAGAGATTCCAGGCGCTGTGCATGTTTTCCCAGGTCTGGATCCCACCCCTCTCTTCTTAGAAATGGGAGGGTAACTAGCCTGCGTTTGGAAAGGGGGCGACCAAAGAAGCAAAGCCTGCTTCTTCCATCCGGAGGGCCCCAATCCTGCACCCTTGGAATGGGATTTCACTCGAACCAGGTCCTAAACTCTGGAGGCATTGCTCTGGCTAAGGTGCGAGGGAGTGGGTACCAAACCCATTCTCCTCCTGAGCTGGGGGGGAGGGAAGGCAGCCCCTGGGAAGGACGGCTGACCCCTCTCTCACCCGTCGGGGAGGGCGACTGACGAGGGAGGTGCCCTTGGCTCCCGCTGCGCCCCTCCCTGGAGGTGGACCGCGGCCGGCTGCGCCCCCAGCTCCCGCTGCGTTCCTGAGAGTTCGACCTCTCTCCTGAGGCCGAACGGCGGCCCTCTTTCTTCTTGGCGGGGGCGGCCTGAGCAAAATGGCGGGAGGCGGCAGAGTGGCTTTGGGGAGAGGGTCCGACGGGGGTGAAGCGCCTAGGAAGAGAAGAGGGGAAGAGAAGTGGCTGGAGAAGAGGAAAGCCAGCGTTCCTTGGGTTCAGGACATCCTATGTTACGTCTTCCATCAATTGGCTACATCTCTTATCCTTTCCTTCACCCCGAGAGCCCACGCAGGAGGCCCCCATCTCCACCGCCCCATTTTCTCCCAAACGGCAACCCTTTGATGTAAGGGCGAGGCGAAGAGAGGGTGCGAGCGGCACCTTCAACATCCTGAGGGCCATGACACACCCGGTTCTCCCCCAGCATGGAACCGGCGTCCACGGACTCGCCCAGGAATGGGCGCCAAGGCCTGGGGCTTGGTCCGGGCATCTTGCTCACCCTTTCTTGTACAAGGCCAGCTCGCTGGTCAGGTTCTTCACCCGGATCCGGAGGCTCCTCTCGGTTGCTTTCATCTCTGCCAACTGTGCAACCGATGGAAAAGAAAATGGAAAGTCATAAAAGGTCAGATTAACTCATGAGAAGCGGACGAAACAGGCCATGTAGTTTTCAAGGAGGATGGAGGGGAGAGGTCCGGAAAAGTCAGGAGATTTGGGGCTGGTTTCAGAGCAGAAAGGCTGGCTGGCGTGGGACCCCCACTCTTTCAACAGGATTCACCCGCAATCTGGAAGCCCTTTGTCAGATAAGGGGACCTAGTTGAGTTGCAGGAGGGAAAGAATAAGGATAGCATGTGTAGGAAATACGGACACCGTCTCCCAGTCTACTTCTCTCTTGAATCCCGCAGCCAGTGTGGCAGAGGCACTTCCTCTCTTGGACTACATGTTCCATCAGCATTAACTGGCATAGTCAATGGTAAGGAATGATGGGAGGCATACCCATCAAGAGCTGAAGAAGGTCCAGGTAATCCTCCCCCACATCTCAATTTAAAATATATATTGAAAGCACAGACAAAGTATCCCGCTAACATATCGAGAGCTACCGAGCAGGAAAAATAAAACCATCCCTGAACAGGAGAATGGCCTCATCCTTCCCCATCATGAGCCAAAACAGAACACACTAGGCAAAATAACCCATAAAAGGAATTATGGGCACACAGTGGCAGTATTTTAGATAGGCAGCAGATTTATTTTTTTTAAAGTCAGAGTTGCCTGGTTGCAGAAATCCAGAGATACACTGCTCAGGTGGCCCCTTTTTCAGGTCCTGCCACGTCGCCTGGCTCAGTGACGCCTGGCATCCATGCAGCCCATTCCCGGGGCGGGGGGGGGAGAGAATGGAAGGATGCCACGCCAGGTGGCCCCTTTTTCAGGTCTTGCCACGTCGCCTGGCTCAGTGACGTCTGGCATCCATGCAGCCCATTCCTGGGGCGGGGGGGGGAAGAGAATGGAAGGATGCCACGTGGCCAAGGTTTGGCTGACCTCGTCCGCCAGCTGCCGGCTCTCCTGCAGGCGCTTGTTGGCAGCCCGCTGATGCCGGGCCCTCTCTTTGGTCAGTTCCTCCTCGAGGCTCTGGACCACCTTCTTGAGGATCTTCACTTCCTTGAAGGCACTGCTCTTGCTGGCCAGCTTCAGCTCCTCCTGCAGGCCCACCAGGGCCATCTCCACGGCTCGCTTCTCCTCCAAGGTGTGCTGCAGGCTGCAGAGGGTGAACAGAAGTGAAATCAAGGGCAGCCTTAAGCAAAACAGACTGGCTAAGCATCGAGGAACTTAGGTTTAGCAAAGCAACTTTAAAACCGGCTGAGGTTTTGCAAAGACTTTGTTTCAATCCCACCTGTTTATCTCTCAGTGACCTTTAGCAGCGGGACTGTTTACAAATCACCAGAGAAAAGGGCCTGCTAGACTCTTCGTTACTTGCCATTAAGTCTTCTCTCAAAAGTCATTTTCAGACCAACACTATGAATTTTAAAACCATTTCATGGCCCAGCAATACTGCTGCCACAGCTATTAACTAATGCACACTAAGGCAGAGGTGCAAAAATTTTAATTGGATAGTTTAAGTTTACAGCTCTTTGTAAGCAGCTGTGAAAGAGGAACATTAACATACAAGCAGAGTCAACGAACAGCTCAGGGATTTTCCCCATGTGTCTGTTCTGATTTTGAGGTAACATTGGGTGTGCTACGGTAATTCTGACACTTCTCAAATCAGCAGGAAATTCAAAGGAATTCAGACAAACGCCCCCAGATCTGCTCAGGTTGACACCCCATCTAACTCACTCCTCCCGGAGTCGGCGAATCTCAGCTTCCCGGAAGTCCTTGCCCGGCTTTGCCTTCAAGACGGCCAGTTCCTCCTTGAGCTCTCGGATCACCTTCTGCAGGACGACCGGATCGGGCTTCCCCACGTAGGGCAGCGGGAGCGGGTAATGGATCCTGGGGAAGGACACAGTCGCGGGTCAGAAGACCCACAGCAGCAAGTGAGTGCAAATATAAAGAGCTGGGTTGTCCAACTCACACTCACCTACAAACACACACATGCACACATCCCTAGGTTTTCCGACCCCGGGACTCCTCCCCAGGACGCAGGAGTGGTGGCGTCCAGCAAGCCAACGGCTCAAGACATCATCCTCAGTTCAGGTGGTGCCCCTCACCTGTCAAACTCCACGGAGTAGATCAGGATGAGGTAGCGCTTGGAGTTCAGCGGGGAGACGCTTTTGGCAGCCGACAGGTGTCGGGGACCCAGCCCGATCTTCCTGTTTCTCAGCGCCTCCAGGTCCGTGTAGGTGAGAAGATCCAGAGTGACTGACTCGCTGCTCTGCACAGGACGAAGGACACAGATCTTTTTACTCCACCCTCCCTCCAAGGGGCGGAAGAAGGCAGCGATGCTGGGGGGGAAGGAAGACTGAACACACGATGGAAGGAAGCCATAGCCTTCCGTTTGCAAAACCTGAGCGGGCTGCTAAGAACAGGATCCTCTGGAGATCGCTAATCCATAGATTCCAGTAAGTCAGAAGTGACTTCAGGGCAAAGAACACCAGCAGTTTCCAAGGAGTTTCAGGTAGCGTGTATTATTCTTCTCTTTTATTTTTTTGCCACAATGGTCCCGTCAGGCAGGTTAGGCTGAGAGGTGGCGACCAGTCCTAAATAATTACCTAAAGTTAACCTGGATGGGCAGGGAGTTGTATCTGGGTTTCTCAGCTCTCCTCTGCTACTGTGACCTCACTTTTTCTCCCTCGGTTGGAAGATGCTGCGGATCGTTTTGGTTTCTTCTGTGATACCAAAAGCTGGTTGGATAGCTCAGCGAGTTAAGTACAGCATCTGATTGCAGAGCCAGAGGTTGGAAGTTTGATTCCCCCATTGGTGCCTCCTGGGAGAAGAGCCAGCCTGGGTAGCCTTGGGCCAGCTGAGCAGTCGTCCCAGGGCACCCCAGGAAGAAGGGGATGGGAAAGCACTTCTGGGTTTTCTCTATTTGGAAATCCCGGAAAAGGGTTTTATCCTTTAGTGAGAATATACCTGATGGCACAATATGTATTACAATGACATTTGGAGGGGGGAGCAAAGATGGGCCTCACCTGAGCCAAAGCTGACTCCAGCATGCTGCAAAATATCCCAAACTGTTTGAAGTTCCCCGTCTTGTGTGTGAGATCTTCAATGACTGCGAGGAAAAACAAAGAGACGAACAGGAGGAATGCCAGCTTCTGTGCGGACAACGAGGGCTGGAGAAGGCAGAACTTGAGTCTTTCAAATTTATTTAAACATTTTAAATAAATAACTAAAACTGAGATGGGTTTGCCAGGAAAAAAATGTCCACGGCTAAATAGAACATGATCTGATTCAGGTGTTTGTTTAATTTATACTCATCCAACAAACCTTTTCAGCGTACCAATGGTCTGGAAAAAAATGAACTGGCTGTGTGTGATAAAAATAAAGCACACTTCATGTGGTTTAAATATTACATCCAAAGCTCTATGTGGAAATTAGCTTTATATTTTTATTTAAATTTAAAAAGGAAAAGCTGTTAAAGTTCAGAATTGTTCACTCAAGTTCATTCCTATGCCATAATGCTGTATTCTACTATGCCATACAAAATAAAGAAAAGTTCATTTTCAGGCCAAGGTTGATCTTATTCAGAACCACATTCTTGAGCCGCATTCTTATAAAACTGGCGCCCACAGTAGTATTTGAACACTTTGGGAGAGGCTGGGGGAAAAAAAAGGTTGGAAAATCTGCCTTTTTGGGTGATGTGGGCCAGAGTTCCCGAGCCAGCCCTGGCCAATGTTGGCCCTGGGTATTCTGGGATTTGTAGTTAAAAAAACCAACCACTCCAGGATCGTTCTCACATTCTACTCCAAGATGCATCTCTCTCTCTCTCTCTGTCCACTTCGTGTCAGTAATTCTATTTCCCAGCCTCTGGGGAATGATGGGACTTGTGGCAGTAATTCTGTTTCCCAGCCTCTGGGGAATGATGGGACTTGTAGTATGAGACAAGGGCATGATGGGACCTGTAGTCCAAGGCAGTACTCACAGGCAGCATCAAATTCTCCTCGCCACTGGTCTGTGGTGAGCCGGTCCTCCACTTCCACTTCCAGCAGGTTTCCTTCCACCGTCATCCGGACAACATGCTCGACGCCACGGAAAACATAGTCGGCTTGCAGGCCGTGCAGCTTGGCCATGGTGGCCCAGGCTTCCCTGGCCCACTCCACCGGGCGGGACGAGTTTACTACCTCGGAACGCCAACCGTCCACCCGCAATCCACCTCCCTGGGAGGGAAGGAAATCCAGAAAGCTTGCAAGCAGGAGATAAAGGCCTTGAGCGTTCACCCTTTGTTTCAGGAGGCAAGGCAAAGACAGACACAGAACAGCCCTAGGTTAAAACTGTTTTGTGAATGGTGGGTTTCGACTTCAGGCTTGACTCTAGGAATTGGGATGAAACGTTTTAGCACAACAGAACGGCGGTTAAGTACGATCCCTTACACAGCATGCAGTTTGGCTCGCTTATTACAGCCACCTTCCCCAGTGCCTCCCCCATCCCTTCTGGATGCCCACCCTCATAGCCATGGGGTCCAAGGGGATGATGGGAGATGCAGTCCAAGGCAGGGGAACCGGTAGGTGTTATGTCCGAAGCAAGGAGAAACAAACCTGGAGGTCTGCAGGGACCAGTGTGGGGAGGGGGTGAAAGAGGGCGGGAGACTCCATTGGGGATTGTGGGTGGGGGGGAAGAAGGGAGAGAAGATTATGGGGAGGGGGTCCCCCAAGAGTGAGAAACCCCAGTGGGGAGGGAGTCAAGGGGGAGAGTAGAGAGGAGTTGGGGGGGTCATAGGAGGAAGGTAACCTGAGAAAGGGTGCAATGGAGGGTCCTAGAAACGCCCCCCCTTTTAGGACTACAACTCCCATGATCCCCCCCAGCCAGCGATGATGGGATTTGCAGCTTTCCAATTAAAACACAGACAGAGGACTATTCAGAAGTTCTCTAAGGCAGCACGTATTTGCCCCCCCCGGGGGGGTATACACCCACCCCTCCCGCGACCACGGCGGCAAGGGGGATGATGGGACCTGTAGTCCGAGGGAGGGCGCCTCTTGGGTGGGTGCAGAAGACAAACACGGGCCAATCGGAGCGGGGGCTTCCACTCGCTCCTTTCCCGGGGGGGGAAGTCAAGGGGGTGTGAAGAGGGGCAACCAAGTCGGGGCGAGGGGCTCCCCCCCCACCCGCGGCCACTCACCTGCCCGCCGCCGCACCTCAACTGCCGCCACTGGGCAGCGGCTTCTCCTTTTCCCCCTCTCCTATTCGCCGCCCACTCAACCGTCGCCGAGTCGTCACTGGGCGAGAGCAACGTCCGTCAACCGGACTCGCTTCGTCATACGCGAAAGGCGCCGTCATTCGAGCCGGTGGCACCGCCCATTAGGCCATCGCCCGCCCCCTTACCCTTTTCTTCCAGGGCTCTCCTCTCCGAGAAAGAAACGCGCAACCGGCTGACGCTGATTGGCTTGGAAGCCCTTGACTGTCAGACGGAGAGCTCCGCCCCCTGGTGGGCCCTTTCCACGGCTGCTATTGGTGGCGCGTCTTGTCGATCCTCTCGGCTACGGACCGCCCAACACCAAGAGGTGAGGGCCAGAAGACGCGGCGCTTTATTGCCCACTAGCGGTTGCCGTGCGACTGGCGCGTAATCCACTTCGCTTCCAAGGTACCGGGACGAGCGATGCTGGAACCGGAGCCGGGCGTTGCAGGGAACAGAGAGTGGAGTCAGGAGGGGGGGGGTAGAGCTAAAACCAGAGTTTGGAAACGTTACATTTTTTTCTCGACATTACCCTAAGCTTTGGAATTGCTTTGGAATAACCTTAGCCACGCGAAAAGCCTAAAAAAATCCGAATTTGCCCTTAAAACGGTTGAAAGAACCAGGTAGATAGCCAGTGATGGGAGACGCCCTCGTTTACCTCAGTCTGCCAGCCAGAAGAACTCCCGAGGAATCAACGTGGTGACGCGTGTTACTGTTGCAACCCTTTATGGCTCAGACGTGCTACTGTTTGGACTACAAACCCCAGAATCCCCAGCTGCCCACAACAGGACGTTTTTTCCTGGGTTTTGCTGAGTTGCGGAGAGCCTAAAAATTCAGCGCTGGGAATCTTGATTCCAGAAACCCATAAACCTTCCACGTGTAGGAAACCCCCAAACACACACTCTTAGTCCCCGCATAATAGGTTTTGTAGTCCTTCCCATCTGGGGGGCGGGAGAGCAGCTGAATCCCTTTTGGCATTCTGGACAAAGACTCGGGCTTCCTTTCCCCACGTTCACCCCATCGCCAAACCCGCTCCTTGCTTCACGGTTTCCCGCCTCCCCGCCGTTCAGAATCACCGTCCATTTGGCCCCGCCCCCTTCCCATTCATGTTCCTCGTGGCCCCGCCCACCCGCCGTTCATTCATCTCCTGGGTGAAGCCAGTACTGTACTGTACCAAGTGAGACAGTAACTGTGTCTGCCTGGAAACCTGATACGGGGCCAGTGTTTCAAACGCGTGGATTTCAGAAAGGAATGACAGCAAGGCTCCCTCTGAGTCCCGCTAAAACATGGGAGGGAGGCGGGGGGGGGGGAACTGATCCGTAGGAGAGGGTGCCTGTTGTATCCCTGGATGAGTCACAGATCAGTAACCCCAAGAAATGCAACCAGTTTCTGCTTCAGAAACCTCTGAAGGGCAGCTTTCATGTCTTAAGAAACAACACCGGAAGATTGTTGTGGGCCATTATTGATGGGCAGCCTTACGCCAAAGGAGACTTGCTAATCCATAAGGTTCCCCCCCCCAAGACTCTAGTTTCTGCTGTAACAGGGGGACACAGCTGCACCCTTTGAAATTCCTTTATTTCTTCCATGTTAACCGGAGTTCTCCCTTAGCAGAGGTTGGAGAAGTGGGGTGGGTGGTATATATTTTTTTGTTTTAATTCACATCCCAGAATCGCCAGCCAGGAAACCAGATGCAATCGGAAGAAATCGTTGGCAGCCCCACAAAAGCTGAACACCACAAGGAGAGAGAAGGAATATTTGGGCAGAGGGACTGCCAGGGTCTTCTGATGTCCACCAATGAAAAAAAAGCTTAACCTCACCCAGCCCTGATCTTTAAGGGTTGTGTGCCTTCAGCCACTGGGACTAGAAGCACATCCTCAGGCTCTTAGGAGCTGTGTGACGCAGTGGTTAAACTGCAGTGTTGCAGCCAAAACTCTGCTTGCGATCTGGGTTCAATCCCAGGTAGCCGGCTGCAGGTTCACTCCGCCTTCCTTCCTAAGTTGGTAAACTGTGTACCCAGCTTGGAGTGGGAGAACGAGTCGCCTGCATAATTAACTTGTAAACCACCCAGAGAGTGCTTTAAGTGCTATGGGGCGGTATATAAGCAGCACATGTTTTGCTTTTAAGAGTGTGGAATGTTACTCATTTTTCATTAGAAGCAATTTTCTTAAGTAACTTTTTAACTTAAGGAGTGGGTTTAATTTTGGAGGAGGGGTGCTCAGAGAGCATCCGAGATGCCCCTCTTAACCAGTATATAATTGTGGACTGGTGTGGTGATACTGTTCCCATCTTTTGCCTCTGGGCTTCCCAGTTTTAACAGACATTTGCTCGACCACTGGACAAAAGAAGACAGTTGGATCAGGTCTAGTAGCAATACTTACGGTATTTTTCTATGTATAAGACTATACTTTTATCTAAAATCTTTAGACAGAAAATTGAGGGTCGTCTTATACACAAAAGTAAGCTGAGGAGAGAAAAAAAAGAAGTGGAGGGGAAAGCAGGGATCAAACTGATCCTGCAGGGCTTTGATCCCTGCTTTTCCCTCCACCTGCTAAGCCTTAGCAAAAGGAAAGCAGGGATCAAAGCACTGCAGGATGGCTTTGATCCCTGCTTTCCTCTCTGCTTGCTAAGTCCCATGGGACTTAGCAAAAGGAGGGGGGAAAGGATCAAAGCAATCCCATGGCTGTGTAAGGGGGAAGGGATCAAAATGATCTTAGAGTCGCGGAATTGCTTTGATCCCTTTCCCCCTCCTTTTGCTAAGCCCCATGGGGCTTAGCACAAAGGGAGAAAGCAGGGATCAAAGGATCATGCAATGCTTTGATGCCTGTCCCCCTACACTTGCTAAGCCCCACTTAGATTTCTTAATTTTGGGTTTGAAAAATGGGGGGTGTCTTATACACAGAAAGATATGGCAAGTTGCATGATATCTTTGTAACCATTGCTTTATTTACAGCTGTACGGGCCTTCTTCAGCAAGCTTGGGAATCTCAGGTTTCTGGTGTGGACATGCTCCCCTAGTTTTGAGCGAACTCCTCTCAAAAATTTTAAAAATTAAAAAAAAATTAAAATAAATTTTTCATCCACATGCATGTGTATGCCCTTGGTGTAAAACTCAAGACACAGAGCCTGTGTTACTTCTTAGACTCTGTTTTTAGTACTACTTTTGTTTACCATTTCTCAGTGTTATTTCCTTTTCAGTATTTGTATATTTATTGTTTTTAGCTTTAATAGCTGAGTGCTCACTGGAAGGACAGATCCTGAAGCCGAGGCTCCAATACTTTGGCCATCTTATGAGAAGAGAAGACTCTCTGGAAAAGACCTTGATGTTGGGAAAGTGCGAAGGCAAGAGGAGAAGGGGACGACAGAGGACGAGATGGTTGGACAATGTCACCGAAGCAACCAACATGAATTTGACCCAACTCCAGGAGGCAGTGGAAGAGAGGAGGGCCTGGCGTGCTCTCTGGTCCATGGGGTCACAAAGAGTCAGACATGACTCATAAACTAAACAACAACAGATTGTCTTTTAATTTTGTAAGCTGCATCTTTCTACTCAGTGTTCTTAGTTTCAAATATTGTCTTTTAATGATGTAAACAAGCATTGTGCTCTATACTCACTGTTTTCAGCTTCAAATAGTGTCTTTCAGTTATGTAAGTCCCTTTTAAGGAGACAGGCAGGTTAAAATATTTTAACTAACTAACTAACTAACTAACTAACTAACTAACTAACTAACTAACTAACTAACTAACTAACTAGCTAGCTAACTAAATAACTAAATAACTAAATAACTAACTGTCTTTTGCAGAGATGCTCCCTCTAGTGGTGAAAAAATCATGTGTTCTAGGATCTAGTTTTCTTCAGTCATATATTTTGCATTTAGCGTGCTTTTACTTTGCGATGAATCACTAGAAGGTGCATGCAGGCTCAATTCCTTCAAACCTGATGGCCAGGGCTTGTGTCTTAGAAGAAATCTTTTTGTAGAAAGACACATGGGTTAATGGAGTACTTTCCTCTACTCTCTGGCTCCTCATTTCCTCCTCCCCTCACCCCGCTTCCGTTTCTGTTTCTCTTTCCTTGCAAAGTGGCCAACTTACTCCAGAGGCTGAAAGCTGCTGGTAAGCAATCATATTCCTCTGCCGTTGAGGAAGGCGAATGAATGGGCGTTGAGCATTTCCTGAAGTCTTGGAAGGCTTGTTCCTATGCCAAGCAGCTCATTTCTGGGGAATTGCACATCTTTGCAGTCGCACCCACGGGAGGGAGGTGGTGGAAGGTTCCAGAGGACCTGTGGAGGCAGGATGCTTTGAAGAGAACATTTCCGGATGTCCTTCTTCTTTGCTCCGTTTATACTCGGTCTTTCCTCCAATGAGCTCAATCCCAGGAGGTCCTTCTTTCTTATTGAGTTTATTTCATGACAACTCTGTGGATCAGTCAAGCTGAGAAAAACATCCATGGGCTGACGCTTACCCGGTGAGTTTACTGGCGTTTTTGGCATGGGACATGATAGATGTTCGATGCAGCCCCCGGGAAAGCTTGTGAAAAGCTTACCTTGGGATCATCTTTTAATTTTCCAGGGCCTTTTTTTCAATCTGTGGTTTTATTCTCTTTGGCTTGACTGACGTATTTGAAGAGTTTGTTCAGCGTACCAGCCGGGCGCTGAATGTTATATTCAGGCGGTGTAGGAATGTGATCCATAAACACAGGTGCTGTTTTTGTCCGCACACAGATGTGTCGGTTGCGGCCCAGGGGTCGAAGACGGAGGGTGGCCACGTACAGATGTGGGCCCCATCAGTTGTACATTGGCAACTTCAAGACACACCCATGCACCCTGATCTTCCACCTTCTGTTTATATATCTTAAGCTCAGACCTTGTTTGGACAACCCTTCCGTTGAAGAAATAAAGGAGATACAAGGGAATGGTTCCCCCATGGAGTCACCAGGTCCTTGTTTCAAGAAAATATGGACTTAATTTGCTTATAACTTTTTTGAACTGTTACCGTCTGGCAGAAGATAAAGAACAATTAAGACTCGGACCACACGTTTTCTGAATAGTTTTTATCCCAGAGCTATAATTCCACTTAATAATGAGCTTAAAGACCACCAGTAG